TTCAAAACATTTTGCAAGTTTTTTTTATTGTTTTCAGATATGCAATAAACCAACCAAAATTTTAAACGATCAAACTAAAAATAAATTAAATTCTTTTATAAAAAAATTAATAATTTTTGAAATAAAAATTTTAAAAAATTTTCTTGACAACACTTGTTAAAAATTAAAAAACAACTTTTATTATCTTAAAAAAGTTTTTCAAAAATTTATTTTGATGCAAATAATTAAAGTGAATAATAAAATAATTAAATAGCTAATTGTATAATTATATACATTATAATTATTTTATAAACATTTTTATTTTTACTGAACTGTTTTTATGTATTATAAAAACATTGGTTTTATAATAAACATATTTTTATATTTATTTTTTGATTTTTTTAAATAATAATTTGCAATATATATATTATACTTAATAAAGAATAAAAATTCTTGGTGTTTTCGATTTTATATATAATAAAATATTAATTAGTTAGTTGACTGATTTAAAAAAGTATTACCTGGAGCAGAAATTTTACTATTGCAGTGAAACTTATCTCACTTATAGTTAAAGCTTTCTTTTCGTATACAATAAATTACAAAACTGCCAGTACTCAGCCAGTACTGAACCAGTAGTGGTTACCAGTACTGGTGCCAACTCTGGCAGCCAATACTGGTAAAATGTTATCATACCAATTTTACGCCAACTCTGGCGCCAATACTGGGTGCCAGTACTGCGCCAACACTTGTCAGTACTGCGCCAGTACTGCGCCATTAGTAAATTTTTGATTGGGAGTGTATTCCTAAATATTTAAAATCATTTTTCTAAATTGTAATTCCATTTACATAATTACTGGCTATAAAGAAAGAAGTATCATCTACTATTCTTTTTCTTCATGACTGAAATTACAAAGGATAATAAAATTTTAAAGGAACAATCAGATGAAATTTTTTTTTTTTTGAATTAACTATAATATGCACTCCCAACTATTTTTTATTTTATTTCTTAGTGATGTGATTTTTGGTCCCATGAGGTAAGATTGGTTGAAGACACTTCTGGGAATTCTGAGGGTATTTTCGTCAGTCAATGAATTTAACGAGTCCGCCCTCAACCGCTTAACAAGAACGACTTGGCGGCACGTGAGAAAAAAAGCTAACCAGCTTGGAAAGTAGGAGTCTCAATATAAGCGGTCTTGAGGGGTGAATTAACACGAAATAAGTGGAGACGAAAAGTACTGCGAAATGAAGAGAGAAAGAGAGAGAGAGAGAGAGTGGTGAGAGGACCGTTTAAACGGTAAGCTCAACTCGCTTGTTGTGTATATATCCATTTGCTGTTGGTTTGTGTTGATCGTGACTCGACCACTGAGAGAGAAGGAGAGCAAATGAAACTCGAACGCGGGAATGAGAAATGAATAACAAGACAGTGTCACCGTAAAAACAAAAAATTATGAGGGTGGAAATATGTCCATAAAGTTAATTGAGCAAAAAATTGTCTTCCTTTTTTTTATTTATTAAGAATTATAATGTAACTAGCAAAATAAGCGTATATTCTTTCGAAGGAAAAACCAAAGTATAAGAAGATAGTAATTTTTAACTAACAGAAATTGTTTGTAATGTTTAAAAAATGAAAGTAGATTTATTTTTAACTTTTAAGGATCGTTTCTGGTGGAGAATTTTTTAGGGCCTTCTTAGAAATAAAATATTTATAACTTATTCAAAAAATTTTTAAAAACGGAAAAATAGTGTTGTTGTGTTAGAAATTTTTTGATCTTGGAGGATTTTTTTGGTAACAATTGTTCAATGTTTCGTGAGGTAGGAAAAACACCTTATTATAAAATTTTAATTCTCCTTTAAATAAAAAAAATATGACCTGAAAAATATAATTTAAACTTCAATTAAAAACATTCTGTATTATGTAAAAAAAATTTAATTTTTAATAGCCTATTTTAATTGTTTAATTTTCAGAAAAAAAAAATTCACTTGTATATGGGATTATATCCATAAACAGATCCCGAATGATTGGTTAAGCGATTCAAGTCGATATATTGGAGAGAAAGAGAAAGAAGTTATATCGATGATATCTAATAACGTGTATGTAGTAAATTAAAAAGCTGTATGTAGGCGAGCATTTTTCCACCAAGTTCTTTTTTTTTTTTAAACAAAAAAAAAAAAAAAAATTTCGCACGAAAGGAAAAACAATTAACACGCTCAATAACGCGAGCAATATCATGAGCGTTCATCCGAAACCCCCTCGAAGCGATATGGGGGAATGAAGCGACCTCCGACCTCACCCATACTTCCCTCCTTCCACTCCGACGACGAATAATATCGCGGTAATACCAAGCGAACGTTCGGTAGTCTGAGCTGCTGAAACTAGTTTATGGCCAATTGTTATTAAGGCATTTATCTAATAAGTCTCGAATACGGCCATCTTGCCTCTTTCCGCACATACAACTATTCACAACCCTCTCTCTATCTATAAAGTCAATATATATATATATATTAGTACGTTATTATTAAATGTAATATAATAGTAATGCAAAGTGGTTTGCAAATTTCCGAAATGAGTGTGACACGCACTTGCGTATATGTATCTAATTCTCGCGTACTACTATAATATTCTCTCCCTGTAATAATACGGCTTCAGGTACATTTTAATTAGCAGAATACCTATGTTCTGCAACTGGTGGCTGGTCCAGGCAAACGGGCAATGAATAGCGCCACGAATGTAATCAGAAATTGTGCGTAGAAATGAAAATTCACGTGTACGATTAGAGGTAATTACCTCGGCAACATACTATATATACTTTTTTTTTTTAGCGTACACACATATAGACACACATGTAAATATCTATAAGGCATTTTCTATAATTTTGCGCACATATGTGAATTTTTTCTTTATATTAAAAGTCATTAAATTTTAAATTACCCCATATATGTATATATATAGACAGTAAACTATGAGTTATTAAAAAGCATTGCACATAAAAGATTTTAAATAATTAATTTTTTTGATTAAGGAAGGAAACCATATTATACAGTTAAAAGTATCAATTAATAATAAAATATGTAAAAAATTTGAAGAATCTTCATTTTTTTTGCTTTTAAATCGAATTTGTGGACTCCACACTGTATACAGCAATCATATACTCAGACGGCGCAGCTTCAGAACCCGTGCAGAAATTTGAGTTAGATTTTAATTAAGGAACCTCGCTGTCCATAATGCCAGATGGGTTCCGGAAGGGAAATTCTAGGCGGGACCCGGCATTTTTCGTCACGATCGACGCCAGCGAGGAATGTTGGTAGGGATCTAGCAGGGATATCCCTGCGATTTCCCTACCAGAAGTAAAGGGTTCTCGCTAGAACCCTATTAGCTCCCTTTAATCGATTATTATTAAATAAAAATTAATAAATATTTAATAAGTCCAAAAAACATATTTATATAAAGATCCAACGTCCTTTCTTCCGTGTGTGTTTTTGAAATTGTAGAGTTAAAAACGCCCGTTATGCTATTTATTATTGCCGTGAAGTTTAATTGAACTTCCTAACCTCCAAACAGTACTAACACAAATTTTAACCAGAATTATAAATAAAAAAGTTAGAAATCATAATATTACCTGAAGAAATTGGAATAATCATAGTAAAAATTAAAAATTTGCAATAATGATATTAACATAAAGACAAAATTTGAGGTTAGAAAACCAATCAATATATTTTTTACTTTTAATATTCTAAGTACATATTTCATGTTTGTTGGCTTAATTTCAAATATTCTTAAATTGATAATATTATGTTAGTATTTACCTTCTGATAAAGAAAATAAGTGATTTGAGTCATCTAAATTGTTAATATCCATAACTTGCTCTTGAACATATTGCATTCTATTTAATTCAACGCGTACGAATTTCACCTCAAGATATTGTTTGCTACGCATTCCCGATTGCTTTTTTTCCTCTCATTATTTTCCATTATTAATTAACAAAAGAACAATAAAATTCAGGTTCACACAAAATGACATGTGCACTTGCACCATTAATGTCATCATTCTCGACGATGGAACATCGATATATTGAAAACTTCGATACATCGATTTCGATATTTTCGATTTAAATTTAAATATTATTTTTAAATTAAATAAAAAGTGAAACTATATATAATAATGTAATTTATTAATAATATTATTTTGATTCTATCACTCGGTGGTATTTAATAATAAATTTAATTTATTTAATAATATTATTATTATAATTTATTATTATTAATATTTATTCTTTTTTTTTATTATTTCTAAAACGAATATTTTAAAAATATTTGTGTTTCTTATTGAACATAATTAAGTTCATATTTTAAATAAAGAAAACATCGAAAAATAATCTAAGTCCGATTCGAGGTATTTCTGGCTAGAATTTAGTAAAAGGCTTAATCAGATTTTTCTAGTTTGAATTGCCTTTCTAGAATTCAAACGGGATCTCAGCAGATATTTCTAGTCTGAATTTTTCACAAAAATCTAATCAGGTTCGAGTACGACTTTTCTAGGCTAGATTTTCTAGCGCGGTTCTAGTCGGAATCCATTATTATCACGTTGGGAAGCTTAGGGACATTTCTACACGGGAAACAATAGCTACTAACTTGGGCTATTCAAAAAAATACTTAAAAAAAAATTATGAGAGACAGCTAAATATATGTACAACATAATGTCATTATTGTGTTTCACTTGAATAATTTTATTCCTTTCAAAAAAAGTTACCAAAAAACGGCTAAAAGTAAGCGTCCTATTGTAGTTTCGTCCCTTATTTTTTTTTCTTTTAATTAAAATTTTTCACTAAAGTAAAAATTAATATCAAAAGTAATTGAATATGAATATTCAAATATCAAAAAGTTATAAAGTTTCTCGGTTGTCTGAAATACGTCACATTTTTCAGGAGACGTTACGCGAATAAACAGCGCGTGTGACAATGACAAACGATCTCTTCGAGGCAAAAATTGAAAGTATAAATTGTCTTTAAAATGTTTTAACTTACATCAACATGCCATTTTTTTTTCTTTTTTTTTTTATTGAACTTGAGAAATTGATGAATAATTCATGACTGACCTGAAACAAATAAAATAAATAATATTTTAATTAAAATATAAATTAATAATTTATTTTCACACTATATATACAGTTATACTTTTAGAGAAAACAAAATTAATATACTATGTAGAAATTAATAATTTTATCGATTAATTTCTTAAAGTTAATACTATATAATCCCAATCTATTTTATAAAATCCACAATATTTGCAAACTCATCTAATCGGAAAATGAATTAGTTTCATTAAATATATCAATTTTCCGCATTATTGATTATAAAAATTGTTAAAAATTGGTTGATTTATTTTTATGAAAATTTACTCATATACTATTGCAAAATTCACAAAAATCATATGAATTTCATTAATTTGAATCGGGTTTTCTCTAAAAGAATATTAAAATATTTTACAAAAAAGATCTCACCGCCATCGCTGTTATAAGAATTTATATTTTTATTTTGTCCCTGATTGTAAAATCAAACCTAGCGGCCTCTTGACCTAGAAATTTACTTAATTTTGAGGTTATATTAACCGATTTTAACCTCAAAACTAAGGTCCTCTTAATCTTAATATTTGACATGTATTCAAAATTGAAGGTTATGTTTGCTGTTTTACTTATCACCTAATTTTGAGATTATGTTTTCAGGTTTGTTAATATTTTAGCTGTGAACAGGTCATAAGTCAAAAGACCGCTAGGTTTGAGATTAAAATTGGCAAACATAACCTCAAAATTAGTTAAATTTTAGAGTAAAGTGGGCAAACATAACGTCAAAATTCAAGGAAACATTTGAAGTTCTTAGATCAAAAGGCGGATGTGTTTAATGTTAAAATCAATTAACATAACCTCCTTAATTATACAAAGCATGTTATTTTTAAAATTTTATATAGTGTTGGATTAATTTATTATGTTCAATAAAACACGTATGGTTTTGAAAAAATTAAAAATCTTATGAAAATGTAACCTTAAAATCTCAGCTTTTATAATTATATAAGGGAACAAATTATAAATTTTTAAATTCACTTATTCTTCTTTAAATTTTAAAATATGAATATGCACATTATACAATTTCAATCACATTAAAATTAATTTATTTTATTTCTTTAATCCACTGACATTTACATATACTAATCAAATCGCTCAGACATTTGGTATTAAATTTAACGACAATAAAAATCGTGAAAAATAAATTTGATATTTTTGATTGATATACATATATATATATAAATAAGGAATATTGATTTCAATATTGTGAGACTAGCTTTTTTTTATTTTTAATTAGTAATAATTTTATGCTGTCAAATCTTTGAAATTATATTAAAAGTTGAATATAAATTGATGTATGCAACTTTAACGAATATGGTTAATAATAATAATGATGAAGGAAATTAAATTAAACACTTAAATTTAAATTTTTGTAAATGTATATATAATATATAGAGATGCTTCTCAAAACTATAGAATTAGAATCGTTTCTCATTTTAGCGAAAAGCTGGTGTACCATCCTCTGATTCCTCAATCTCATTTGTATAATCTCAAAAGCTTCGATAACAAACTGTCGCGAAAATCAGCATGGCATGCGGCATTGAGGAGAATGAATGGGGTGCAAATACGAGATTAACTTACTTTATAGTTTCTAGACGAAATTGCAATTTTAATGACAATTATCTTATTTCTACTTTCTTGCATATTTTATGAAATAAAAATCCAATAAAATTAAGATTATTATATATTCTTTCTAGAATTTTTATTATTCAATTTATAAAATTTTTGTATTGTTATAGAAAGATTTGTTGTTAACAATTAAATTGTTCAATGTTTCGTGCTCATGTGCGCTTATATGGCATGTGAGTCATTTTGTGAGTTAGGAAAAACACCTTATTATAAAATTTTAGTTCTCCTTTAAATTTAAAATGTATGGCCTAAAAAATATAAAAATATTTATAATACTAAAATGATTGAAAAAATTTAATTTTTAAATTTATTATTATTATTATATTATTTTGCAACTTTGAAATTTGCAAAGTAACATGGATACGGTTTGAAAGAATTATATCATGTGAGCACACTAAAACATTTTACTTAAAATTTAAATACACTTACATTCATTCTAGCCTTAAATTAATGTAGTAACTGAAAATAAGTTACTGTAACTTACATAAAGTAAGTATCTTATATATCCATATAATTTGTTACTTTAAGAACTGAAATTCATCCAAGTTGAACGGAAAGTCATTCTGTGCCTAGGCGCAAGCGTGAGTGGCACGTGTATGTGATTGTGTTTATGAATGTTTATGAATGTTAAAATTGTATTAAATGTTAAAATTTACTGTGAAAATTAGCCAATTGTATTATTGTAAAGAAAAATTTAAAATGTTATTATACATTTGATTTATAATTTCGGCGTTCTGTTAAAAAAAATAAACAGTCAACAAATATTTTTGTTTCATTTTATTCATTTCCTCTAATTTTATATAGGTTAACCTTTTAATTATTGATATATTTGTTAATATAAAAATTTTTTGTACAAAAAAATTATTTTGTAAATGTGTTTCAAAATAATTATTAACTATTAATTTTAACGCCCTAATTACGCTGTTATAAAATAAATTTAATAAACCCTTCAATATTTTGCAATATTTAATAATTTTATTAAAATCTTAAAAATAAAATAATAATTTACATAAAATAATAATTTTTTAATTAAAAACAGTGAATTGTAAAATTTTAATTTTAAATTAGTTATAAAATGTTAAACAATAAACTATACCTATTTGAAAATAAATTTAAATATAATACATTTCAGTAATTTACGTCATAATTTGTTACCGACAGTAGCTAACTTTCAGTCGCTACATGGAACGAAATTTAAGGTTATCGCCTTGATACTGACTTTCATGTAGAGTGAACTGACTCACATCACACCTTAAATTCCTTAAGGTTGTGATATGGAATTTAAGTAAACTGTTTTTCTGTGAGTTACTTTGTGGATTAGGAAAAATACATTATTGTAAAATTTTAATTCTCCTTTAAATTTAAAATGTACAGCCTAAAAAATAAATATAAAAATATTGTTGTGTTAATAATTTTAGGTTTGTGATTAAAAGATTTGTTATTAACAAATGCACACTTATGGCGTATATGAGTAAGTTTGTGAGTTAGGAAAAACATCTTATTATAAAAATTTTAATTCCCCTTTAAATTTAAAATTTACTAAAACTACAATATCTGAGTTGTAGTAAAACTTCTGCTATATGGTAATCTTTAAAATGATACAGTGTAAGAAGAATAATTAATTGTCAACGACAGTAATAGAGATTCAAGTATGAAGTAAAGGAGAAGATGGTAATAGTGACGAGAATGACCAAGTTGACGAGAAGGGTCGGATGTCTGGCCAGACGGGCAGAAATGAAGCAGCAAAGGGGTTTGTTTGTCCGGCTGTCCACCCCTTTCCTTCCTCATGCAATACTGTCCAGCAGCTCTTCCCCAACACACACACATATGCAGAATGTAAAATACATACACATATGTAGTGAGACGCACTCATCGCTACCATCTATCCCCCCTTTTATCTCTTTCTCTTTCCCTCTTCTGTCCCATTCGGACCGTCGGCACGTAACAATGCACGTGTACACAGTGTTTGCCTACACCCACGCGTATATATACATATCTTATAATATTGATTACTTCCAACGAATTTGCAGCCAGAGGCAAGTCGTTGAGAATCTGTTTTGAGTAACTCCCATATACTCTCTCACACACACACGCATACATATATACCCTTTAAGAATAACTCCCGATTCTATCGTCGCAATGCAGTAGGCTTTCCGCTTTTGCATTCGGTAATTTGCCTTCGACCCCTTCTTCGGCAAGGCGAAAATCGTCTATGATTACGATATCGTGCTCGAATACCGAGGTCACGAATTTATATATATATATATGAATTGTAATATATATCCACATTTAGTAAAACATATTATATAGATACGCAGCTGTATGAATCTTTAATTGTGAGCGCGGAGCTATATTATATTCCCGATATCGGTAAATCTTTGCTATTAGTGTACAAATACGATTAAAATTATGTGTATTGCTGATGACACATGTTCATTCTCATGCTCGCGTGATGTGTTCAATAGGAGTTAGACTTGTAACCCGCTAAACCTATTTGATTCCTATATGGTAATGCTATTTACGTGTTGTAATTGGCGTGTTAGTTTCTCGGCAATTAGCTACAAAATACTACAAAGAAAAAATAACCTCATCCTCTAAAGCAGACTTTACACGCAATTTATATATTGTTTTATGTATATAGGAACATCTAAACTATAGATAGACAGATATATGTTGAACATTTTTGGGTAAACATCAATTTATAAATATGTACTGGAGAATGAGACCAATTAGATATAATTGTGTTTATTAATTTAAGTGAAATTATAAGCAAACAACTATAATGAAACTAAAAATAGACAACTACCATCGACAGAATATAATTTGAAGCACGTTGCCCTTGAAGAATTTTTTAAATGTCAAAATATTGCTGCACGGAAAAAAAGTACAACTATATCTGAGAATTTTTTCGCCATAGTAGCTAAATATTTCGTCGAAAATTAACGAGCAATAATGGCATTATCGCTGTTTTTGCCAAAGTGAAAATCTTTGGTCAATATCTCTATATTGGTGAAAGTGTACTGCTAATTTATACTTTATGTTACTTTATAATAAAGAGTTTGAAATTCCTCGTTTACAGCAAACAAAAAATGCGTGCAGTTTATAGAAAATGATTTAAAATACAGAAAATAATAATTAAATGATTATATAATAGGGTCAGTCGGGGTAAATCCGAACGGGGGGTAAATCCGAACGCTAATTATTTCAGCTTAATTAAAATTTTTAAAAATAAGTTCGATATGAGAATTTTTACCTCAGATCCTCTTGAAGAGATTCTAAGTATTATCCCATTTTTTGTTTGTTAATTAGCAACAGCATAAACAAAGATAACAAGTATTGCAAAAAAG